GAACAACCTCATTCTTCTCTCCCTGTTTCATTCCAAAACTATTCATCTTCTCTTCTTCCATAGAATTAACCTTATCAAATTGTAACATGGCCTCAGAGCCGATTTTCGATCAATTGAATCTGGGCGTGAAGCTGTGAAGTCACTAAGCTAAGTCAAAGCTCGGTGAAAGTCGCCGGAGTTTTCATTTGAGGCGAGAAAGCAACAGACGGATCAAGATGTCTGGATCTGGAAGCTCGAAGGTGAGAACCCCAATCTTCTCCGGTGAGAACTACGAGTTCTGGCGGATTAAGATGGTAACGATATTCAAATCGCTTGGGTTATGGAAGCTGGTGGACAAAGGGATTACAACCCCTGACTCGAAGAAGAAGAAGGAAGTTGAAGGGTCATCGGACGATGCAGTCGATGAAGAAATGGCTGCTGTGTTCATGAAGGATGCGAAGGCTCTAGGAATCATTCAAAATGCAGTCTCGGATCAGATCTTCCCACGAATCGCCAATGTCGAATCAGCTAAGATGGCATGGGATTTGTTATACGGGGAGTATCATGGTGGTGATCAGGTACGATCTGTGAAATTGCAGAATCTTAGGAGAGAGTTTGAATATGCTAGGATGAGAGATGATGAGTCTTTATCTAGCTATCTTACACGGCTGAATGAGCTAATTAATCAAATGAGAACATTTGGTGAATCTCTGTCGAATGAGAGACTTGTGTAGAAGGTTCTGATTAGTCTTAGTAAACCTTATGATTCTATCTGTTTGGTTATAGAAAACACAAAGTGTCTAGAGACTGTAGAATTGCAGGAAGTAGTTGCAATCTTGAAGAGTCAAGAACAACGGTTTGATATGCATACTGTTGATACTACTGGGAAAGCATTCTCATCTTTCTCAGTGAATTCAAAAGAGCAGAATAGGGGTGAAGGTCAATCTGGTTCATCTCAGTTCCAGAAAAATTGGAATAATAAGGGCAAGAAATGGGGTTCAAAACCTAAGTTTCAGCAGAAATTTCCTGCTAGTCCTGCACATAATGCACAGTCAATGGGGCAGATAGGTACAAAACCACAGTGCAGGGTATGTTCTAAGTTTCACTTTGGAGAGTGTAGGTATAAAGGGAAACCTAAATGCTATAACTGTGAAAAGTTTGGTCACTGGGCTAGAGAGTGCACAGTAGGTAAATTAGTGCAAAAGGCAAATAGTGCTAATCAGGTAGAGGTGACAGGGAACCTGTTTTATGCAAATAGCACAATCACTGAATCAAAAGTGAATGGAGAATGGTATGTAGATAGTGGTTGTAGCAACCATATGACAGGGGATTCTAAGTTGTTAATAGACATGAAGACAAATGTGGTTGGCAAGGTTCAAATGCCCACAGGGGAACTCATGAATGTGGCAGGTTTTGGAACACTTATGATAGATACTAGCAAAGGCAGAAAATATGTCAAAGATGTAATGTATCTACCTGGGTTGAAGGAAAATCTGTTAAGTGTGGGGCAGATGGATGAACACGGTTACTACCTGTTATTTGGGGGAAAGATGTGCAGTATTTTTTATGGACCTTCATTGGATTGTCTTGTACTCAAAGTTGAAATGAAAAAGAACAGGTGTTACCCCTTGACACTGATACCAAATGATCAGGTTGTACTGAGGGCAGGTATTTCTAAGTCTACTTGGATATGGCACAAGAGACTAGGCCATTTGCATGTTAGGGGTCTTCAGCAGCTTAAAAACAAAGAAATGGTGCATGGTCTCCCAGCTTTAGAAGAAATGGATGAAGTTTGTGAAGGTTGTCAGTTTGGGAAACAACATAGAGAGTGGTTTCCAAAGAATCAAGCATGGAGAGCAAGTAAACCTCTAGAACTGGTGCATGTGGATTTGTGTGGTCCTATGCAGAATGATTCACTTGCGGGCAACAAATATTTCATGCTTCTTGTAGATGACTATACGAGAATGATGTGGGTTTATTTTCTGAAATACAAGTCAGATGCATTGATATGTTTTAGAAAATTCAAGTCCATGGTGGAATTACAAAGTGACTTTAAGATAAAATGTTTGAGGAGTGACAGAGGGGGAGAATTCACATCTTGTGAATTCAACAAACTGTGTGAAGATGCAGGGATTCAAAGACAGTTATCTATGGCCTACACTCCACAACAAAATGGAGTAGTGGAGAGGAAGAATAGAACGGTTGTAGAAATGGCTAAGGCAATGCTTCATGATAAAAGCATGCCATACTTTCTGTGGGCAGAAGCAGTACACACAGCTGTGTACATTTTGAACAGATCACCTACAAAGGCACTCAATAATTTAACACCATTTGAGGCTTACAGTGGCAGAAAACCAGGGGTTGGCCATTTAAAGGTGTTTGGATCAGTATGCTATGTGCATATACCATCTGAAATAAGACAGAAGCTAGATGCTAAGAGTGTCAAAGGTGTGTTTGTTGGATATGCTACATGTGAGAAGGGATACAGAGTGTTTGATCCATGCACTAAGAAGTTAATTCTTTCAAGAGATGTAGTTTTTGATGAAACTATAACCTGGAATTGGAAGAAACATTCAGAGAATTCTGTTGCTGTGACCCACATTCAGAATTCACATGAGTTGGGTGAGATTCAAGACAGTGCCTCCAGTTCCTATACCTCATCTCATACTGAAGAACAAGAAAGCAGCATTCAAGAATCTGTTGAGATCCCTCAGTCTTATGATCATACCCCAGTGAAATGGAGAAACATAAATGATATTATGGCACAGTGCAATCTCTGTATTGTGGAACCTGAAAAATTCGAAGAAGCTGCACAAGATCAGGCTTGGATAAAGGCAATGGAAGAAGAACTGCAAATGATTGAGAAGAATGGAACTTGGGAGCTTGTTGACAGACCAAGTGATAAGCAGGTGATTGGAGTTAAATGGGTGTTCAAAACTAAGTTGAACTTAGATGGTTCAGTCCAAAAGAACAAGGCAAGACTAGTTGCCAAGGGGTATGTGCAGAAACCAGGAATTGACTACAATGAGACTTTTGCCCCGGTTGCAAGATTGGACACAATCCGAACCTTGATAGCTCTTGCTGCACAGAGAAGCTGGAAATTATATCAACTAGATGTTAAATCTGCTTTTCTGAATGGAGAATTGCAGGAAGAAGTATATGTAGATCAACCTGAGGGGTTTGTAGTTAATGGCAGGGAGGACAAGGTCTACAAATTGCATAAGGCTCTTTATGGGTTAAAACAGGCACCTAGAGCCTGGTATGGAGAGATTGACAGTTATTTTACTAAGTGTGGGTTTGAGAAAAGCTTAAGTGAAGCAACTCTCTACACTAAGACAAGGGGAGAAAAGGATATACTAATAGTCTCCATATATGTGGATGATATTGTGTATACTGGAAACAATCAAGACATGCTGGATGAGTTCAAAGAAGATATGAAGGAGAAGTATGAGATGTCAGACTTGGGCCTTCTTCATCATTTTCTGGGGATGGGGATAATTCAAACAGAATCTAGCATCTTCATTCATCAAAAGAAGTATGCCTCTTCCCTGTTGGATAAGTTTGGATTGAAAGAATGTAAATCTGTCTCTATACCTCTTGTGGCTACTGAAAAGTTGAGTAAAGAAGATGGCAGTGGTGCAGCAGATGAAGAGAAATACAGAAAGCTTGTAGGCAGTTTACTGTATCTTACTGCTACAAGACCGGATATAATGTATGCAGCTAGTTTATTAGCTCGATATATGCATTGTCCTACCAATAAACACTATGGAACAACTAAGAGAGTGCTCAGATATGTTAGGGGCACATTGGACTATGGTTTGAAGTATGAGAAAGGCAAGAAGGCAGTCTTAATTGGCTTTTGCGATAGTGACTGGGGAGGATCTCTTGAAGACAGCAAAAGCACCTCAGGCTATGCATTTTCTTTTGGAAGTGGAGTGTTCTCATGGGCCTCTGTGAAACAACACTGTGTTGCTCTTTCTACTGCAGAAGCCGAGTATATCAGTGCTTCTGAAGCCACAGCTCAGGCCATATGGCTCAGATTTGTTCTGGAAGATTTTGGAGAGTTACAAGTTGATGCAACCCCTCTGCAGTGTGATAACACATCTGCAATCTCAATATCCAAGAACCCTGTGTTTCACCAGAAGACAAAACACATTGACAGGAGATATCACTTCATCAAGGATGCCTTGTAGCAAGGGATAATTGACTTGGTTTACTGTCCTACCAAAGAACAAGTGGCAGACATTTTCACCAAGGCATTACCAAAGGACAGGTTTAACTATCTCAGGGACAAGCTAGGAGTTATATCAGCTTTGGACTTAAAGGGGAGTGTTGAAGTATAAGTCCAAAATCTGATTAGAAATAAGTTGTGATGTTAATATGTGTATGCACTTATGTTAAATACTAAGTGAGAGGGTATATAGGTATAAAAGGCCATGAGTGCCATGTGTGATGATCTTAGCTGTTAGCTGAATGTGTGGCTGATATCTATTCAAATTGTACTGATCCAGCTCAGTTTTGTAAAAGGCATTATATCTCTCTTTGCACGTTGTGTGCAATACAGTGAGAGACAATTAATGAAATCAGTTATTCCTCTGTGACTTTGCAGAGAAAAGAACAACCTCATTCTTCTCTCCCTGTTTCATTCCAAAACTATTCATCTTCTCTTCTTCCATAGAATTAACCTTATCAAATTGTAACAGATTCGACCCCTAAATTCTTTCGCGACGGAGGTAGAGATTTGACCCCCAAACTCTTGCGTGACGGACACAGATCCTCGACCCACAAATTCTTGCGCAATGGACATAGATCTTTGACCCACAAACTCTTGCACGACGGATGTAGAGGCCGTCGCAATAAGATAATTAAATTAAAAATTTTAAATAATTTTTTTATTTAATTTTTTTTCCTTTTAAATGTTGCTAATATTGTTTTTATGTAAAAATTAATTTAACGAAATTAAAAATAGAAAATGTAAAAAAGAATATTAAATTAAAAAATTATTGAAAATGTACCTACAATGGAAAAAAGTATTTTTTTAAATTTGAAAACAATTTAAAACAAAACTAAAATAGGTAGTCCTCGACATCACAATCACTGGCTGGTGGTGTTGTTGTCGCATCGGGGCTGGGAGGTTGTAGCTGCTGCGGCGGCAGGGAGGGTTGGGAAGTCGTTTCTAGAAGTGGTTCAACGTTGGGGAAGTGAATGCCAGAAATTTGAAGTGTGTGACGAATTTGGTGTATCAAATTGTTTTGGGCCTCAATTTGAGCCTACTGGGTAGCAATCTGCTGCTTCAGGTCCGCCACTTTAGATGTCAATGTTTCGACCGCTTCTGTTCTTTGCCTGGAGGATAAGGCAGATAGGTCCCGAAAGCGAGCTTTCACAAGCCCCTGGTGAACATTCCTAGTCCGATGATCGAGGGTCTGATCAAGTGTGTTTGTCATGATCTGAAAACCAGCATCCTCAGGGGGAAGCACCTCCTCAATCAGGGTTTCTACAGGAAGCTGGGAAGCCACCTCCTCCATAACGGTGTAGCCCTTCTCCACCATGGTGGACTAGAAAAATGAAATAAACAAATTAATTTGAATATACATGTAATTAATATTAATACTAATTGAATATTAAAAATTTGAAATAACTTACATGAAGCTGCTCTGTCATCTCATCCCTGGGCTGAACTTACACCTCCTTGAACATGTCAATTTCCAGAAACTTTGACCCCCCTGAAAAAATTTAAAAAGTGTTAACATAGATTACCAATTGTGTGTAATAAAGAGTAAAAAGATTGAAAACTTTAAAATAAATAAACGGTTACCTTACGTCGCTCCTCCAACCTATAAGGGAAGCGTCGTGAGCCGAATTGGTGAAGAAGTTTCTTCTTCGACCGATTGATCGAGTTTGCCTTCACTTTTTTCTATTGAATTAAAAAAACATATTAGTTTAGATATTTATAACAAATGAATGAAAAAATGAAAATTTTATTTAAAATTGTAATTTTTTATTAATATATTATTGAAATATATATTATACGTACGAAGTATTTCTTGTCTTGAAAATGGCCGCAGAGCCACTCCCATTCATCCCAACGGCCCACCAACTCTATAGGGCACCTAACTTCTAAAGCGACATCCGAACCATCATGTAGCTCATAATGCTTGTGGAGGTCACTCTTCCATTGAGTAAGCCTACTGGAGCAAAGGTCGTTGATGTACTGCATTTGATTGGCATCGAGGTTGGAAAGCTTATAATGATGTTGCAAAACTCAACAAATAAAAAGAAGTTACAATTTATAATTTTTGTATACTTTAATAAAAATTTAGTATTTGAGTTTGAAAATACTTACCGATAATTCATAAAGAACGGCGTCTTTGACTTCTTGTGGGATAGCTCTCCATGACTCCCACATGAGGGGGCAATGGTTCCTGATAACCGACCCAACGTCGGTGGCCAACGCACTGTGTTGCTCCTTTGTTGCAGCCGCATGATGTCGAGGATCCCATGTAATGGTAATCTTCTCGGTTGTGGTGCGAGTGGTCTATAAGGGTCTTTGGTTATTTTTTTGATCTACCAAATAAACAAAGTAAACATTAGACGAATTCTATTTTCTACTGAAAATTCGGTAGAACCTCCCTTAAAACTATAACATTTCCTAAAACCTGCAGACAATATAACAACAAAAACAACACATCCACCCAACAATTCAAACAGTTTATACCAGTTGGGGACGTTAAAACAAAATTTACAACTTGTTGATATGACTTTACACTGCGAGTCTGCAACAAGTTTTGGCTTGCAAGGCCAGGTGTGGCAACTTAAATCGTTTATAGTAGTGGTTTCACTAACTGACAACAATATAGGCAAAGCACGCAAATCGAAGTTCTTAGTAAGTTCTTTCTAATTAATGGGACTGTGACAGTTTCGAAGGTTCGAGCATGTCTACAGACTAATGTCAATGTTGGTTTGACCATCATGAAACCAAAAGCAAGATTATCAATGGACAGAGTAAGCTTACCTATCTGGGACCTCTCTCCATGGATAGAGGAAGCCTTACCAAACGGCTGAGCCTCCTCAGAACTTTGGGGCCGTCGATGAGTCCGTCTATCACTTAGGATAGGATATGTCACCAAAGAAGTCAATGACGCAGGAGCCGTAAACATCGTTGGCCCCAAAGGTGTGACCGGAGGGGCACCTGTCGTGCCCATATCAGGTGTAGAAGTGGCAGTAGCATTACCTTCTGGAGAAGGTGTCTGACTACCTGTACTAGCTGCCTACCAATTTGATATTAAGTTCGACATCTACAAAAACAATTAATAAAAAAGCTACATTCCACTACTATAATCTAGTTTGGATATACAAAAAAAATCCTAACCTTGAAGCACAATAAGATATATCGTTTGTCACATCCCAGACTCGACTCCGCTGTAGCATGATATTGTCCGCTCTGGGCTTACCATTCCCTCACGGTTTTGTTTTTGGTTTTCGGCACGAGAACTTCCCAGGGGGGTCACCCATCCTAGGACTGCTCTCGCCCAAACTCATTTAACTTAGAAGTTTTTATGGGATCCAGAACCAATGAATTCCCAATAAGCCTCGTGCTATAGGGAGAGGAGCATGTACATATAAGGCACATCACCCCCTCTCCGTTGGTTGATGTGAGATCTTATAATCCACCCCACTTAAGGGGAACCCAGTGTCATCCCCAGCACATCCAAACCGAACAGTATAATGGCTATGATACCAAATTGTCACATCCCAGCTCGACTCCGCCGTAGCACGATATTGTCCGCTTTGGGCTTACCATTCCCTCACGGTTTTGTTTTTGGGTTTCGACATGAGAACTTCCCAGGGGGTCACCCATCTTAGGATTGCTCTCATCCAAACTCGCTTAACTTCAGAGTTCTTATGGGATCCAGAGCCAGTGAGTTCCCAAAATGCCTCGTGCTATAGGGAGGGAGTGTGTACATATAAGGCACATCACCCCCTCTTCGTTGGTTGATGTGGGATCTTAGCTCTAGACTTACCATTCCCTCACGATTTTCTTTTTGGGTTTCGGCACGAGAGCAGTCCTAGGATGTGTGACCCCCCTGGGAAGTTCTCGTACCGAAACCCAAAAATAAAACTGTGAGGGAATGGTAAGCCCAGAGCGGACAATATCTTGCTACGGTGGAGTAGAGTTGGGATGTGATAGTTGGGACCATAAGTGTGTCGGACCCGTACCGCATCAAATTTCTTCTTCTCTATCCACAAAATATATTGTCATAATACTAAATCTAGACAAAAAAATGTATATAAAATGCAAAATTTAAAACGCAAACATTTTCCATCACCTTCACTATCCGTTGTCTTTGACGAATATGTACCACTGTCGGCCATCGTAACAACAATCAAAGAACAAACTAATTATAATCTGCAGACTTGGTAAGCATTTCTGAAACGAATTGTGAAGAATAAGGAGAGTATAAGCGCACATTTATAGGAAGGTTAAGGACTTTGTGTGACAAAGACTTTATCGCGCAAACATCTGCACTAAATACGCATTGATTTCTCTGATTCAGATGCACCAAATACGCTGACCCAAAACGGAACACCATTTGCGCGACAAAGGCTTCGTCGCGCAAGGTTTTGCATAGCGACATCCTTTGTCGCACAAACGTTCTAGCGACGAACTTGACGATTGTAATTATGAAGTTTACGTATCTATGTTTACGTAAACTTCATAATTACAAACAAATTTTTAGTTATAATACGTATTCTAAAAATAATTACTACCTTAAATAAATTGATATTATATTCCAAATTATTTAAATAACCAAACAGGAATTGAAACCTAATTAAGTCCAAATACATATAAAAAAAGCCTTAAATTTAAATATTGTCGTAAAAAACATAAATTTAAAATTACTATTTCGATGGTCCTTCATTCCCCTTTGAAGGTCCTTTATCCCCCTCGACCTCATAACGCTACCGCTGGTAACCTCCCATCAACGCAACCTCCATCAACTTCATCAACTCTTTGTTTGTATCATCAACAAGAGTATATTTACACTGTTATAAATATATGCAAACAATTAATTCCAACATATAACATAAAATTTCACAAAATTAATTATTGATCCATCAACAGTATACTTACTAATAATTCATCCATCACCGCCTTCTTCATATTCTTGGGCACATATTTCCAAGATCGTCACTCAGTAGTAGGACAATTATTCCATATGGCTACCCCAATCGCATGCGCAACTTGCACTTGTTGCCTCAAATCATACGGGTTGGCGGGCAAGCTCTGATCCTTGTTTTTATCCTCCATCCTAGCACGAACAGAATTGTGAAGAATAGAACAGAATTGTGAAGAATAAGGAGAACATAATTGTGAAGAATAAGGAGAGCATAAACGCATATTTAAAGGAAGGTTAGGGCCTTTGTGAGACGAAGGCTTTGTCGCGAAAAGACCTGCACTAAATACAGTCCAAATTCCTCTGATTCACATGCACTAAATCGTCTTATTCAAAACTAACAGCAACTTACGCGACCAAGGCTTTGTCGCGCAAGTGTTCCTCTGATTCCCATGCGTTCAATGCTCTGCCCCAAAAATTGAAGAAGCTTTGCGCGATGAAGACTTTGTCGCACAAAGTTTCCCCGGGAAAATCTTCATCATGCATTATTTTCGCATAAAAAATAAATCACTCGCGGTTTTTCTTACTGGCTTTGCGCAACAGAGGCACTCTTGTCGTTGCGCAAAACATCTTTGAGCGATGGATTTTGCTTTGTCACGCAAATAGTTTTTCTTACTAATGGTTTTGCAGGATATGGCTTCGTCAACTTGTTCTCCTCCTCCTCCCCCTCAAGAAAAGTATGATGTGTTTCTTAGTTTTAGGGTTGAGGACAACAATCCTTATACCAGCATTCTTCATGCAACTTTACTTGCCAAAAATAATAACCTACGGAGACGACAGACTTGAGAGAGGAAACACAGTTCCACCTGGCCTAATGCAAGCAATCAAGAATTCGAAGATTTTAGTCATTATTTTCTCGAATAATTATGCTTCGGAGAAATTAGGTTCTCATCCCTCTTTCTTTCATTGCATTGATTAAAACCTTATTTCTTTTTAATTTTTATCAAGGTCCCTATCTTTTAATAACGTCATTATTTCAATTATAAATTATTTACATACCAACATAATTAAATTAAAATTTTAAATATATTCATTTAGTGTTAGAAGCGTTACATTTGGTATATTTATATTTATGGTTAAACTTTGTATTATATATTTCTATTTTTAATTTGTACAATTTTTAATTTGCAACCCTTTTTTAATTTGTACTAATTTTCATTTTAGTTTTAATTTGTACCCATATATTAATTTCATTTTGTGCCCATATTTTTAAATTTTTTATTTATACTCATAATTTATTTATAATGTACCCATTTTTCTTTATAAATGTACCACTTTGTTATATGTAAAATGTACCCCTTTTTTTTGTGAATGTACCATTTTTTTTATGTAAAATGTACCCATTTTTTAATGTAAATTCTATTTAAATTTTTATTCATAATGTATACATATTTTATAATGAAATGTACCCATTTTTCTTTATAAATGTACCACTTTGTTATATGTAAAATGTACCTTTTTTTTTGTGAATGTACCCTTTTTTTTATGTAAAATGTACCCATTTTCTAATGTAAAATCCATTTATTTTTGTATTTATAATGTATACATATTTTATAATAAAATACTTCAATTTTTTTTTTCAACACTATGGGTACACTTGTTTGACATTTATTATTTCAAAGTTATAGTTACCTGTTTTTATCTATTTATTCAATCCAAATTTTTGAGTATTTTCTTTTATATTTTATCGTTTTTAATTTATATGCCATATAATATGGGATTTTAAATCCCATAACATGTCAAGTAATTAATATCAAACATATGAAAATACATATTAATAGCAATAATGAGGTGTACAAAATCAAGGGACTTTGATAAAAAATTGAATATTATTAAGGTTTTAGTCAAAGAATATTAATGGCTAGGGACTGAATCCAAAGTCTCCCTTATGCTTTTGACATTGAATGTTGTGTGGAACATATAAATATTTAAAAGAAGATTTTTATTGCAGAGCGAGGACGACTCCAATATTGTGAATGAATCCAACTATTCAAGACATGTATTCTTATTTCTTACGCTGTCAAAATAATATGTTGGTTGGAGTACAATGCCTTCGTAGGTACGCTTCCGGTTGAGTCCAAATCATACAGAATATGGTTGTAGCTCACGCCCTAACAAACTATTTTCGTCTTTCAACCACCCCCACACAGTTTTGTTCATTGGATTTTAGAAAAATGACTCTTGAGGTGCTGCTCTGCTTCTCACCATGCATCCACGTTCCATTAAAAACCCAGGCATCAAGGGCAAAGCAAACAAACATGGCAAAACAGCTCCCCGGCCCAAACAAACTCCGGCAACAAGAGAAGAAACAAAACAAACATAACACTAAGACACTCACCTCCTGATCGTCAACATTCACCACCTTAAGATTGCCACCATACTGATCACATCCATATATTACCACTCCCAAAAATATTCAAAATTCAATTAAAAAAAAAAAAACTAGATATTTCAAAAATTAGACCTCATATATATGCTGAACATATGTATCATGAACATTTGCATCAACATTCAACATTCATCAGCTGAAGATTAAGGGACATAAAGTAGAAAAGTATACCGAAAAACATAGCTTTATTGATTGATAATCAGAAACAAAACAAAGAGGTCTTTATATAGAGAAAGACCAAAGCAAACCCTAGACTAAAACCCTAATACTAACGGGCTAAGCCCAAAATATCAAACATTAAAATAATCTAAATAATAATATTTTCCAACACCCCCCGTCAAACTCATGGCGGTACACGCCATGGGTTTGCCAAAGTAGATGTGGATGCAAGACTCCAAATTCCAGTGCCAAAGCCGATGCGAAAAACACAACCATGCTAATGCCGATGCCAACAACCATGTCAATGCCGATGCCAACTTCAAACTACCATGTCTAATCATCCTTCCTAGATTCAGATTTTGAATCAGTTCCAATATGTAAAACATCAGCGGCTCCTCCTTTCTGTGGAAGTTCATGTTGTTGAAACAACTTAGGACATTGGGATTTCCAATGCCCTTTCCCTTTACAATAAGAACACTCATCCATAGCAACCCTACGAGACCTTGCTGCAGCAAATGCTGAAATATTTGACGACGATGAAGAGAGCGTATGTGACTGCACACAAACTTCTTCTGCTTGTAACTCATTAAGAACAGAATCAACAGATGGAAGAGGAGTTCAATGAAGGATGGAGCTACGGAGTGTCTCGAACTCATCCTGAAGAGGCATTAGAAACTGAACAAGACGTTGTTCTTCCCTATATTTACAACAAAGCTTGACAATGCCGAGTTCTTCAGGCTCAGTTAATGCAAGTTGATCCTAAAGATTGGTCAGTTCATTGTAAAACACTTGAATACTCTTATCACCTTGCTGGATTGTACGAATCTCCATTTCCAATTGATACCTCTTGGCAAAATTGGCCTTGGTATACAACTTTGCCAAGTGATCCCAAACTTCCTTAGACGTTGAGAACTTAGCCAGTTGCATTCCAATAGCCAAATCAACAGAATTATTAATCCAAGTAATAATCTTTGAATTATTCATCTCCCATGCAGCAAACAATTCAACATATTTTTCATCCTTGGGGTTATTCGGAATGGAAACCATTCCAGAAACATAGCCCCATAGTCCTTTTCCAATCAAAAAATTCTTCATCACATACGCCCAATACACATAATTATTTCCGTTTAATTTCACACCAATAGCTTGTAAGGAATCATCCTTTGCAGATGCCATATCTACAATGACAACACTAAGAAAAATACCTGATAGCAATCAGTGAATAATAATCTGATATGGTTATGCCGTAACAATAATAATCTGGTACTGTTGCAGATTGATACCAGTGCAACGGGCCGTCATCTACGAATTCAAGCGGTGCAGAAACTTGGGTGCAAAACGTGCGGGGTGCAGGGGCGGTCAGAAACTCTGGTGCAAACGTGCAGGGTGCAGAGGGCGGTCAGGTATGTAGTCACGACAGTGAAGATGGATTCATATGCGGAAACAGTGCGGGATACATGTGTAGCAGTACGGGGTGGTAGGCAAATGATTTTAGGAATCAGTCAGGCTGACGGCGGGAGACAGGTCTAGAGAACCTACTTTTGATACCAAGTAGAAAAGTATACCGAAAAACATAGCTTTATTGATTGATAATCAGAAACAAAACAAAGAGATCTTTATATAGAGAAAGACCAAAGCAAACCCTAGACTAAAACCCTAATACTAACGGGCTAAGCCCAAAATACCAAACATTAAAATAATCTAAATAATAATATTTTCCAACACATAACTTCAATAAATTTAAGCACATAATATCGGAAAATATCGATGTCGATAATTTCGCTCACACTTCAGCAATATTTTGTCTAAATATCGGTGTAATATTGTTAAAATATCGAAAATACCGATGTAAAGCAAGGAAAAAAAAAGGGAAAAAAGGGAGGAAAAAAAGCACAAAGGGGATTTGAACCCCCTCCCATTTTACTCCTCCAACACCGTAACCACCATACATCACTTATGTTTTAGTGATAATATGCTAAAATATATATATTTATATGAGTGACATGTTAACAATTACATGCAAAACTATTTTGGGGATTTATCATTTGATGAATACTATTCACAATAAACTTACTCTACACATAGAGATGATGAAGATAGTGAAAATTTTGAACCTCATAGGAACTTTATGTGGTACTAAATCACTCATGTATTTTACCATGCAATGTATAAAGTGTAAAATATTGTAGTAAATCATTATATATAAATGATTATGGTGTGTTTAATCTTTTTTTCATTAATTACTACATATTTTCTATACTCACATTTTTTGCTAGCTCGCTGTATAATCAACTTAAATTAGTTAAATCCATCATGTAATACATTTCCTTCTAATTTTTTTTTTATAAACTACTAGATAATTGACTAAATAAACATTCTCCAAAGTTTTAATAAAAATTTCCAAGTTTTTCTTACAATTTCCGTTGTTTTTATTTAATTTTTATCGATATCGATAATATCCCGATATTTCCATCGAAATTTCAATGTTTTTGGACTACTGATATTTCCGATATCATCGATATTTTATATCATGACTGTAAGGTATGAGAAGTCTCTAAATATATACTAGTAGGAATTAGTAGGCTAATATATTATTAAAATCAAACATACGTGTTATAATTTGAGAGGAAAAACAAACAAACGTCACACGACTACATTTTGAATACATAAAAAATTGCTCTACAAAAAGAGGAGCCATGGGGCAAACAAGTCGCTTCCTCCAGGTCATATTGTTGTGGGCCCGCTTAAAAACTTTTGGGCTTAATCTCACAACAAAAGACGTTTGTGGGCCGAAAGAAGATGAACACTCAATGGCGCTAGCAGTGTGACTAGTTCATACACTTATTTATTTTATTGCCATCCATTGATCCAACAAAAGAAATGTGTCTTATTTTTTCCTAATTAATACGCTCCATTGATCTCTACAATTCTTACAATAAATAGATATTGTATGCATTCATAGATGTTTTCACGTTAGTCGCCTATTTGCAAGTGGGAAACTCCCAGTCGTTGATGTATTCTTGTGGTGAGGAGCCAAACCTTGCACAAACTAATAAGGAGTTGATTAACCTCTCGTACTGTCTATTAGTTTTATGATTAAACTATTTTTGAAATTATGCTCATGTTTTTCATTTTACTTGGTACAAAATTATTCTGTTTTATCTTTCTAGTGAAACATCCACAAAAACCCAATAAAAGCAAACAAATAGTAGTTGAAAAGAATAGTCACAATAAGTTTTTCAAATCAAAAGACATTTTTTTTCTCAATATTTCTAACTTCGAATTTTCTTATTCTTAATTCTCATTTAAATAATAAGTTTCATAAACAAATCTTTTTTTCTACCATGTTTCTTTAGAATGGAATTGGTCATTTGCTTTTTCTTTCCTTTGACTCTCTCTCTCTCTCTCTCTCTCTCTCTCTTCGTGCTGTTCTTAGTCCCATGTACAGACAAATGACCGCTATATAGATACATAACCACACCAAGAATTCACCTCAGAAAAAGCAAAGCTGCAATGCAAATCTAAGGGAATGACATTTCTTCCATTTACCTGAGGAAGTGACAGTTTCTGTGGCCCTTGCAGGCAAATGGCTCGGCAACAACAGCAGGTGCAGGTCCTCCTTTGTCTCTCCTTTCTCTTCCTCCTTGGATTTTCCCCTCTGGGCTCAAACCCCACCTCCTATTTCTTGAATCCGGATCCTCTTCGGATCCTCTTTGTGAGAATCTCAGAGATCTGTAAATTGTGTTTATTCATCGTATAATGTGGGTCAGTTTTCATTAAATAATGTTTTGTTCAATTTAAATAATAAATCTTCGAGATCGTGTCCGTTCATCGTATATTGTGCGTTTAGTTTTCGTCAAATACTATTTGTGTTCAATTTTAAATAATAAAATTTAATAATTTCTGACTGCACGATGTATGATGAACGGACACAATACACGGATCCTCGGAATCCTTATTCTTATTTCTTGATATAAGTTCAATTTTTCAATCAACATTAGGAATTTCAGTCAACATTAGGAATAGTCAAATTTATTAAATAAGTTCATGACTTTAGGATTATTTTATTCAATATTAGCATATGGGCACACAAAGTGTGTGAGAAAATATTTTATTTTTGTTTTTGAAATAGAAGGAGAGATGAAGAGAGTGATAGAGAATGTGGGAGTGAGAATTTTTATTTTTTTTAATTAGAGATATGTTAGGATTACATGTAGGTGAGGCTTTGCAAAAAAAATAAAATTTGGTTGTGTGAAATTACATTTCTGCCCCATATTTCTTATTCATGTTCTGTTTTAATTAGAGAGTTAAACTGATAACTTCATGGAATTTTGCTTGACAATGAGTATTTTATTAATTAGTAGAGGTTCTCTCGTGAATCTTACGTTTAACTATGAAAATTAAATTTCCTCCTAATTTTCTCTTTGATTATTTTTTTTTCCTTTTTTTTTTTTTTGTTATTTCTTGTTCTTGTTCTTCTTCCTGTTCCAAACCCCATTCATAGATTTTATTTTTAATTTTTATAATCAATCTATATAACAGATTACTTGCACTTATATCAACCTATATGACAAATTCATTTTTACAACTAACCTGTATTGCATATTAATGTCTTTTTTGCAAGTATATTATGTTTTTGTACCCTTTAATTAGATTTCATATCTCACTTATAGGTATAATATACATTCATGTATTACTTGATTTAGGGTAAAATGTTTGCAGATGAATTTATGTTAGCATATTAGTTTTTCTGTTAGAAGATATTAATTAGACTTTTTAGAGTTAGAAAATGCATATATTAGAAGATTTTAATTGATTTTTTAATATTTTTAGAAAATATAAAATGAGTATAGAACAAATAAAAATATGTAATTAGATAACTTAACTCACTCTCACAAAACAACTTATTTTTGGACCTGAATCTAAAAGCCCCATTTTTTTTTTCTGCAATTTCTCTGGTTTTGTGGGTCTACTTTTTTCTTACCATAATGTTCAGTCATGTTAATTTTTTTTGTCATTATTTGTTGGAGGCTTATGAATAATTGATACTTTTGGGATATATATTATTTGATTTAGACACGATTGGTTTATACCGTTTAGTACGTGATTAGTACCTTCTGTTCTGTTTTTGTTTATTTCAGGTTGTTTTGTTCATGCACAATGCACAAATATGCTTGAATGAAGGCTGTTTTTCCTTTCCTTCATGTTTTATGTAAACATTCATATGATTTGATAATTAGGTATCACAGAAATTGGTTAGCATTAGGGTAGGTCAAGTATTCATATGTTGAGATGGAATAAATATACATGTATGTGTAATGAGCCTTCATAACTGTTTAGATTGAAGTTCTCCTCCGCAAGCTCACGTCAGTAAACCCCGAAGACCAAGGGTCTGCTGCGGCTGAAATCCGCCTTCTTGCCAAAGGTAATGCAGATAATCGTGTGGCTATTGCTGAAGCTGGTGCAATACCCCTGCTTGTAGGCCTACTTTCAACCCCAGACTCCCGCACCCAAGAGCATGCTGTGACAGCACTCCTCAACCTTTCCTTATGTGAAGATAACAAGGGAAGTATCATATCCTCTGGAGCAGTTCCTGGTATTGTTCATGTTCTCACGAATGGAGGGATGGAAGCACGGGAAAATGCAGCTGCGATCCTTTTCAGCCTTTCTATTGTGGATGAAAATAAAGTTATGATTGGCGCTTCGGGAGCCATTCCGCCACTTGTTACATTGCTGAGTGAAGGTACCCAAGGGGGGAAGAAAGATGCTGCAATTGCACTTTTTAACTTGTGCATTTATCATGGTAACAAGGGGAAGGCAGTAAGGGCCGGTGTTGTTTCGACCCTAATGAAGCTGCTGACAGAACCTGGAGGCGGAATGGTGGATGAGGGACTGGCCATTCTAGCTATACTGTCTAGCCACCCTGAAGGGAAAGCAGCCATTGGAGCTGCTGAGGCAGTGCCCGTTTTGGTTGAAGTTATTGGTACTGGATCTCTCCGAAATAGAGAAAATGCAGCTGCGGTTTTGGTGAATCTTTGTTCTGGAGACCAACAACGTATAGTAGAGGCTCAGGAACTCGGGGTGACGAGTTCGTTATTGGAGTTGGCACAAAATGGCACAGATAGAGGAAAGAGAAAGGCTGCACAGTTACTTGAGTTAATGAATCCATTTGCTGAGCAGCAGACGGCAGACGCAGACGCAGACGCAGACGCAGACGCAAGCCGAGGTTCAGTCTGAGACCCAGTCACAAACCCCACAACCTATCTATTCGAGGGAAACCTCACAAAAGTATAACAAATATGTATTGTTATCAAGTTCGAAAACATAATTTTCTTAACAAGTGCTTCTTTTAGAAGCGCTTTTAGTGGTATGTGCTTCTTCAGAAAACACCAAATAATGTTTTTAGAATTCAGTACCACGTACTAGTTATCGTTTTTATAGAACAATACAATCTCTTTTGGTTATTCGGAAGTGTTTTGTCCCTTTAAAATTGAAGATACCATGATGATTAACTATCCCCGAATCATTAGAAACTAGAAGTATGCTCCGCATCCCTTACTTAATTAGTCACTTTTGTGCCTAAGTTTTGTGGTGGTTTTACCATCCACGTCCTCGGCGCAGGCATTTTGGCACGCTCGCTGATTTTTATGGACCATTCGGTGGCATCTCTCAGTTCATTTTCTCTACTGTTCAGTACGTGTGCTTCATTCGACATGCTGAAAATCCTATCGAACTGTCCCTTTGGCCTGCCATATTTCTTGTGTGCGTGGGTGCTTCAAGATTAAATAAGAATCAGAATATGATTGTTGATGAACGCAGAGACTAGACAGACAATTAACGGGTATGGGAGATTTTACTGTGCAACCGCCAATCAGGAACAAATCACAAAAAGAATATTCAGGAACACATGAAGATGTATCTGCGATTATGTCCATGTAAGCTATAAACCAGTTTCTTTTTGTGAGTTCAATGTCCCCGTTTATGTTAAAATTTTGTTGGAGATCCAGTTGGCTAAGATTACTGGACCATTGAAAAGAAAAGGGCAAGCAATTGCTCAGCATTTCAAAAGCAAATCACTAGAAATGTTTTTTGTGCACAATGATAAAACACCGCCTTTTGGATTGAACTCGTGTTTGGTGACCTATATATATCCAGACTTGGAGGAATCTTTAGAGTCTCCAGAGTCTTTAAATTTGAAACCAACACAAGCATGCCAAGCTTGAGAAAACAACTAATAAAACAAACTAACCATTTTTTTTTATATGAGAGAGGCTGGGGTCGGCCAACAACACAGCCGCCGCACTTGCCTCGGCTTGGGGTCGGCGGTGCCAGCCCCACTGCCCAAATGGTGGTTTGGGAACTCGATTTTCCCACTTTTGGTTGTCCTCTAATTTATTGCAAATGTGTACTAGATTTTCCTTTGTGGTCAATTTGCCCGCTTTTGATTGAGAAGTCCGACCAAGCCTCTGGGTTCGCTACCCACCCGAGAGTGAATCGTCGCTCATTCAATTGAAGGTGTGCGAAATCAAGTGGTACAACCTATAAGAATGCAAGTATTTTACTTAATTATAAACAAAAACAATGTATAGAAAATAAGGCAATTAGTTGGAATAGACATTTTTTTGCACAAATGACCAGTTTTTAGTAACAACGACATATTGATCATATATCGACGACCTAACGATGACACAATGATGATATAGCAACAACATATAAATATTGATCCCTTTCTGCAACAAAATGTCAAAATGTATTTATTGTTATTAATTGCCTTGAAAAATATGAAAAGATGATTGTCATTTGTCTAACCAACTGTTCCGTCTTTCAACCACGGCCACACAGTTTTGTTTATTGGATTTTAGAAAAATGACTCTTGATGTGCTGCTCTGCTTCTCTTCCACCATGCATCTACGTTCAATTAAAACCCAGACAACAAGGGCAAAGCAAACAAACATGGCGAAACAGCTCCCCGGCCCAAACGAACTCCGGCAACAAGAGAATAAACAAAACAAACATAACACTAGGACACCCACCTCCTGATCGTCAGTGTTCACCACCTTAAGATTGCCGGCCGAATTTGCATGTATACCATACCTTGATTTTTCAAACAACGAACCCTTAAAAGCCAATCACACTAATCACATCCACACACACACACATGACACATCTGCATCGATATTCAACATTCATCATCTACAGATTAAGACGCTAACTTTAATAAATTTAAGTAAGAACCATACGATCACACGAAGATTATATCCAAATTTGTTGTCAAAATCAAATATATTTCAAAAGTTGAATATATGGTATGAGAGGTCTCTAAATATATACTAGTAGGAATTAATAGGCTAATATGTTATTGAAATCAAACAACGTCATACGACTGCATTTCGAATACATAAAAACATTGCCCTACAAAAAGAGGAGCCATGGGACAGACAAGAAGTCATTTGCTTCCCCCAGGTCATACTGTTGTGGGCCCGCTTAGAAAACCTTTGGGCCTAGTCTCACAAAAAGTCGTTTGTGGGCCAAAAGAAAAGGAACACTCATTGGCACTGGCAGTCCACCTGTTATTATTATTGCCATCCAATGATCCAACAAAAGAAAAGTGTCTTCTTATTCCAAATTAATACGCTCCATTTGATCTCTACAATCTTTATGATGATAAATTATTGTATGCGACAATAACATCACGTGACATATCAACGTTGTGTTATTAGTCATGCTGGTAATGGGTTGCGCTCGGGTTTACAATTTTCATCTATATCGTGTTTTTGCGTTCATCATCTAAAGATTCTAAAGAAGATACTGTACACATTCATAATTGTTTTCAAGTTTGTCGCTCATTCGCAAGTGGGCAACTCTTGACAGTTTATGTATTAGTGTGAGAATGAAAAGGACAAAGTTCGCGGTGATGAACCAAACTTTGCAAAGCCTGATAAGGAGTTAAACAATTTGTTATATTGTCAATAAGTTTTATGATTCAAGTTCGACAAGAAAAAAAAATTTTGATTCAACCATTTCTGGAATTATGTTCTTGTTTTTCATTTTATTGGTACAAATGATTCTTTTTCTCTTTCTATTCAAACACTCAATAACGGACCTAGGTTGTCTGTCGTCCACATCCCATGGACCTGAATTGTATGCCCTCCTCCATCCCATACCATTCTCATCCCCTCAGATTTCTGTAGTCACGGTTAAGCCACATCAACATTTTATATTGATTTTTTTTATAGAAATAATAAAACAAAAAGCAATGGAAATATAAAATGTTGACGTGACTTAACCGTGACCATATAAATATGAGAAGATGGGAAGGGTATGAGATGTTGACATAATTTAACCGTGATCACATAAATATAAAAGGATGAGAAGGGTGTAGAATAGGAGGGCAAACAATCCAGGTCCTTCAATAAAACCCAAGGAAAGCAAACAAACAGTGCTCACAAATGATTACTCCTCTGACTCAGTTTCTCTGTTTCTCACTCCTTTTGACCCTCTCTCTCTCTCTCTAGACTCCAGGTGCTGTTCTTAATCCCCTGTACAGACAAACTCCCTCTATCTATATAGATATAGAGTCACCCAATATTACCACACCAGAATTCACCTCAGAAAAATGTAAAGCTGCAATGCAAATTTAAGGAAATGACACTTCTTCCATTTACCTGAGGAAGTGACACACTTAGGCCTTTGCGGGCAAATGGCTCAGCAAATACAGCAGGTACTCCTTTGTCTCCTCTCTCTTCCTCCTTGGATTTTCCCCCCTGGGCTCATAACCCACCTCCCATTTCTTTCTCTCTCTAGATTTCTATGGTGGGTCTGATTTATTTTTATTTTTTTCCTATAATTTCTCTGTTTTTGTGGGTCACTGGCTCTACTTTTTTTCTTACCACATTGTTCAGTCTTGTTTAACACTTTTTTGTCATTAATTGTTGGAGGCTTATGAATAATTGATAAGATGATATGATTGTTGGGTAGGACGAAGGATGGCCTCTGGGATTGCAGCCAATGCATGTGAGAATTGGGCTGGCTGCTTCAAACCATGAATTTTCTGGGTCAGTTTCTTTCAACACTTTACTCACTGGTTCTCCAACTTCCTCCACTGATTCATCATCAGATCTGGACACAGAGGTCAGTGTAATTACAGACACTTAAGGTTTAAGTTTTTGTCAGACTAGTCTTGTCTTTGATGGGTTTTGTTGGAATTTTGTAGCCAGACATATGACATGTGTGCGTGTATCTATATAATGTATATTATTTGGTTTAGACATGATTGGTATATACTGTTTAGCATGTGGTTACTGGTTAGTATCTTCTGTTCTGTTTTTGTTTGTTTCAGGTTGTTTTGTTCATGCACAAATATTCTTTAACGAAGGCCTTTTTTTCTTTCCTTCATGTTTTATGTAAATCTTCATATGATGTGTTAATTAGGTATCACGGAAATGGGTTAGGATTAGGCTCGGTCAAGGATTCGATGCCCTTTATTGTAACCGTCATATGTTGAGATGGAATAAATATACATGTATATTTACCGAGTCTAGATGAGAGAAAATCGGTTACGGTGATTTGGACATGTGCAAAGAAGGCCTACTGACGCTCCGGTTCGAAGATGTGATTACGGGATAGAGGTTCAGGGCCGAAGGGGTAGAGGAAGACCTAAGAAAACTTTGGAAGAGACCCTAAGAAAAGACTTAGAGTACTTGGATCTAATGGAGGACATGACACAGAACCGAGCGCAATGGCGTTCTAGGATTCATATAGCCGACCCCACTTAGTGGGAAAAGGCTTTGTTGTTGTTGTTGTATATTTACTGAGTCTGCATAACTGTTTAGACAGTAAGCTTGACAAAACAGCACTACTGGTGTTGTGTGCTAGGTAACTATTGTGTCACAAGTCGGAGAAAATCCGTTTTGTCACCAGTAATATGTTCCTTCGTGTTTGCAACACTAATCACGTATTTGGGTTGCTTCACTTTTACACTAGTATTGATTAACGTCGGTTTGAAGTTTGAACTGACTTTGTAGGAATGGTATTGTAGATGATTCTGACACTGTGGACCTAAACAATGTCCTCAAATGGTCTGCAAACTTAGCATCCTTGAGCATCAATTCACCATTCTAAATTTATGAAGCCATTTTAAACTTGACAAATTAATCCATGTTCATACTATATGGTATGCGTCCCTTGAGTTGAAGTAGATAAACCAAATCTATATTGAGCAGGTATTGCCCCCCACTGTTGAGGATACATGTACCGCGTTAGCGTTCTTAATCTGACGGTGAGGGGCAATGTAGGATGCAAAACATCGGTCAAGGGGGCAAGGTCGGTCACTTTAACTTCAAAGGACATTGTGAGAGTTCACCATACTTTAAGGGGCACTAGAACAATTAAGCCTAATTTTATAACATAATCACATTTACTGAAAACATATGTTACTGTTACTAATTAACAGTATGTGTTGCTAACTTGCTGTTGCCTGATCTTAATGATATATGAAAAAATAGTTGAAGGAAGTCGCCGATCTGTTTGCCTGTTAACTTCCGTAATCTTTGACAGTGTTTTAAGTTTTGTACATGTTCTAGGATTGTTAGCTCAATATGTGCTTGGTTGGTTGCAGTCCACAGGGTCTTTTTTCCATGATAGGAGCATCACACTTGGGAGCCTTATAGGAATCAATAGCATTCTGGAGCTCTCAAGAAGATCACTGAGAGGAAGAAAATCCGAGCATCAGGCTGGTAAGGACAGGAAGATGAACAACACCACCACAACCACCACCAAGTTCAGAATGTGTTTTTTCTCTTTATGCTCTAAAGACAGTACAGACGGTGAGAATGTGCGCCATCATCAGCCATCTCTCGGCCACTTTCTTGCGGCAGAGAGACAAGCGGCCAATGAAAGTTACAGAACAAACCCTCCAATTTACGGACCAGATGACGAGCTTGCCCTAGCTGAGCATCATCAGCCTGCTAGAGAATCAAATAACTCACTCTTTGTTGATGGTCAAGTTGCTCCTCCTCAATCTAGTCCATGGTTTGGTTCAGATCATGTTGACCAAAGAAAATCAATGCTCTTTTCATGCATGTGTTGACAACTCTCTCTTTGGCCTAGCATTAGGTGAATGTCTCAGTCTGTTATTGGAAGAAATCAAGAGGTCAATTGACAATTCCATTGCATCTGAGCTCGATTTATTGAAGAAGGAGAAGAAGGAACCGAGAAGAAAGTACCAGCAACAATCGGTTTTTATTTTTCAGCGTCCATATCGATCTATTATGTGCCAATGCCTTGAGTATTTGGTATACCTCGTACGATAGCTGTCCTAGATCTACCGTATCTTTTACTTCGTTTCTTCAGAAACAATCACAAACATTTTTTTAGTATGGAGAAGAAAATGCATGAAATATGTATGTCTCACCTTTATGGAGCAAATTAGCTAGTAATTTGGATTGATTAATCTCATTTGATGATAAGTATGTTACAAAAGCAAATGTTCATCATTTCAAATTTTCTACAAAAACTTGCTCAGCTGGGGCCAAACTGTGATGGTATCCTAGGTACTATGTCCTACCAATTGACTAAAATGGCTAGGAAATATCTAAGTGGAACAAGAAAACTTGTGCATACTACCATTCAACCTTTCCTAAATTTACCACCAAATAGGATTTGTCCTAGAACACATGCAGAGAGCATCCTCAATGGTTTTAATGTCTTTAATATTTAACGTTTTAATGTCTTTAATATTTAACGAGAGCTGTTATTAGTACTTCAAAAAATTTATCACGCACTCAGTTTTTATAAAAACGTAGAGTTGCACTTTATGATCTTTCCTAGTTCAATCACACAACTCAATCGGTCTAATATTTAACTAAATTTGTGGCAATGCAATGACAAGCATACATGAAGAGTCCAAAAAGACAAGAAATTTTGAGCCTACCACATTTACACACATTAAAGTGTAAAAATAAGTAAGTGACCATTTACCACAGTCGTGAAAAGATATTGTATCCTTGCATGACAGCGTGGATTCGAACCCCGTTGGTACTTAATCTAACATCTAACTTACCAAGACTACCGCTCAACTCAAAAAAATAAGTGTATAAGTGTAAATATAAAACTTCAACACAATCTACTCATAATAATGTAATGGCACATATACACAAAGCATTATAATATATAACAAAATAATTAATACGTTATGAACTTAAAATGTAGTATTAATAAATAAATTCACGTGTTATAACAGAAGTGGCTTCCGTCACACTTACAAACTTCTTTGCAAGGAAGAAGTGGAACCCAAGGAGCAGCAAGCAAGTCAATCAATGTCTCCATCCGATGAGACTTTTACACCGTCCATACATGCATTATCTTAGTGACCATCATTTAGTGACAAAAAATGGTGGAAAAAAACAGCCAAACGGGCCACAGCCATCAGATATTTGGTACAAGTCCAGATTAGTCGTATCAAGCAAAAGGCTGGGCCAACTGAAATCCAGGGCCCACATAGTTCAAGTGGGCCTGCTTATTTCTTGGCTTTTCACACACGTAGAAGCCGAACTTGTGTTCTTCGGGTCAACATCTTGTCAGGTACTGTTTCACTGTTGACCCACCCAAACTCTAAACTTTCCTTGTTCGGGATGTAGCTGACTTTTCCAATTTCCACTACATTTTGGAGTCATATGATCAATAAAGGGCACAAATCACATGAAATCCAATCTCCCAATCACTTTTTATTTATTATCCTTGTTGTTGTATTTATTCAAGTTTGTTCTTTCGTTAGGAGTCTTAATTTAATATTTAATAAGAGTATTAATTTAATAAAACTTAATAAATTTTTTTATGTGTGGTGATCTTGTAGTTATTTAATTTATAGGAATCAAAGTCAGAATCCAAAGAATGAGTTTTGACTTTGGTAACATAAGATTGAATTGTAGAAAGAATCATCCGGATCTTTGTTTTAACGATATTCCTGGTTACTAATACTAATTAGGAAATCTCTATTACACAAAATAAAAGAGTGAATTCTTTCAAAATTAAGGAGTGGATTCTTTCGCTTTATTCCGTGAAATTAGTTAACAAGGCCTTGCATCTTTCTATATCTCCCCGAAAATAATCCCCCACTAAGAATCAGTTAGTTAAACGACGTGTTGTTATATTTATTCAAGTTTGTTCCTTCTTCACATCACTTAAATAGTATGTCCAAATCTCATTTCTGGTAAATTAAAGTAATTGAAAATATGATGTTGTAAGAAAAGAAAATAACTCTTATTTATTTGTATTCTTTCACCACAATCTCATTTCTCCAAGAGATTTTTCAGTGTGCTAGAAACACGATTCGGTACATCAAATGTAATAATACAATTAGTTTGAAATTTAAAAATAAAAAAAAACAATTTCAACCAATTTTATTATGACACTTAACGTACTGAACCGCATTCCCGTCACACTAAAAAAATTTCTCCATTTCTCCACACAAAATACTGAAAAATAATTCAATCTTGCCACCAGAAAAATGAAAATAAAATAATATTACATTTCTCACTAGGAAAGAGGAGAGCTTGGTGGGGGTCAAAAGCACACAACATATCCTTCACTCTTTCCAATGGTTCTTTTTTGTGTCCCTGTCCAGCAGCAGCCATTCAAGAATTTTGTATTTCCAACTAAGAAAAATAATTTCTTCCTTTTTTTTTCTGTTTTTTTCCTTCCCAATTCATATACCTAACAGACTCTCAAATCACCAACTAATAAGTTCCTTGAACCTCAAGTAAACAAATTTAACTTGACCAACAAGCAACAAGACATCTAAACCTAACCCAATAGCCTGCAACTCACTTTGCTTATTTTCCAAAACTACATAACACATGGACTTTTTATCTGTACACAGCAGCTCCTTGGATTCTTCTCGCTTTCACTTACATGAAAGCGACGAATCCTCGAATCACAATACGGAATCTTTTTTATTGCCAAATGCCGAAACACGTCAAGGTTTGTCAACCCATTCATTTTCAGCAATAATGCCTGAGCCACGGCCGCCCATCTTCCCGAAAGAACCAAGTGCCGATACGCCCTTGAAGCTGCTGCTGCCCTCACTGAAGTTTCGGGACCTCCTTGCCTTTCTTAGCTTGGAGGAATTGTTATCTGCGGTGTCATGGTCACCATCATCGCAACTTTTGATCTTTGCAACTAGCAGATGGGCAATGGGGCTTCGGCAGAATGGGCAAACCGGTGGCATTAGGCATAATGTAGTTGGGTTAGGCTTGTTGTAGCAGCAGAGGGCTAGAGTGCATTGTGCACACATTTGGTGACCGCAGTTCTGGACTTCAATTGTACACACCTGCTCAAAGCATATGCAGCATAGATCTAAATCACTTTCCTGCAATAAAACGTCCGAATGAGTACCTTGGTCCCCATGCATTAATTAATATGGTAGATGTCTCTACAGTTCACATGACTGCTGAATATATGTCTCCTTCTGACCTACGAAGTCCGAAAACTAGTAAAGATGCAATTAAGCCGCATGATCAAATGGGGGACTGGAGCCAAGGAAAGCACATGAAGCAAAGACAAAATAGTAGAGTTTCTAATGTTAGGATTCAGAAAACTATCATGAGACTCATGGTCCAGCTCACTGCTATGGAAAACAAAGCTCATGACATCTGATTTTGATCAGAAACACAGCCTCTGACTCAAAAGAACAAGATAATTCTTCTGCAGAAAAAAGAAAAGAGCAAGGTAATTCAAAAACATTTCAAAATTTTCTGTCGTAGACTCGTAACAACCAAGTTCATTGATTCCTTCTTTCAGAAACAATAAAAAAAAAAAAGAGGAAAATCCGGCATTGTGCCAAATAATGATCAGAAAATATCCCTCACTCGTGTATGACTCTGTAAGACAGGACCCCATCTTATGATTAATTACAAATAGATGATGATTTTATAATGTCTTAGACAATTAAGAAGATTTCGTTGGGCGGTTAGATTTCAATCAAACTCTTTTTGGTCATTGAGTAGTACTGAGAAAGGTGAAACCCATCATAAGCTCCTACTTTTTATAATAACATAGACATATACTTGAATATGAAGAAAGAGAGGAGAGTGGGAAATTACCACAGATATATTGTCATCCATGCCTGCATCAGAATGTGACGGAGATGGAAGTGAGTAAACGGTTCCTTTCAAGATGTTCTTCTCCCTCTCCCTGTTTGCCTCCATTAAGGCCTGTTCTAGCAGAGCTTTTGTTTCATGATTAAGCTCACTAATACACTTTAAAGGTGCTGGCCACACAAGAGGCTCAGCTGACGAAGGATTTAGCATGGCCGCACAAGCTCCGTGTTTGTGTTTCAAAGCAACTACGTATGGTATTCTCCTGCATATACAAAAACACATAACATATAAGCTCAAATTAAGTTTTTAAAATAGCGTTACGGGATATGAGCATCAGTTCAGGGGGTACTAATCACGAAACGAAATTATACCCGGATGAATCTCTTTGAACACGATCTGCACCCCACGCCAACAATCCACGTATGCAATCCAGAGATCCCCCTCTAGCCGCCAAATGAAGCGGAGTGCTCCCAGGACAGCTGTAAACAGAAACTCATCAATCTACGCAACAAAACTAACACCATAGATTAAAAAGGATTAAGAACTTCAGCGCAATTCTTACCCATAACCACCCGTTGAAGCAGAAACAAGAGCCCCGTTGTCTAACAGAATACGTACACATTCAGGCCTACTTCGACGTGCTGCCAAATGCAACGGTGTTGCTCCTCTACCATCCCTAATATTTATAAATCGTGCAAATCCCCTGATATCCAATCCAACAAATTTCGATAAGTAAAAAGCCAGATTAATCACAGAGGGGATCAAAACACTATGGTCTAAAAGGAAACCAACCAGGAAACAGAAACAGGACTCGAATGAGCAGCAGAAACAATAGCTTGAAGGCAATCAGAATGGCCATAGTAAGCGGCGTAATGCAAGCAGGTTCTTCCGTTAAGGGAATCAAACATCAATACCTGATAAATATCCCACATCAAATTGAGAGTTAATATTTGGAAATAAAAACCAAATTTCCAAATCTAAGAAGAAGAAAAAAGTTTGGATTTTCACATACGTTTGCTCCTGCGTCAAGAAGCTTTTGCACGCAGGAGATCTTGCCATGCATTGCAGCCAACATCAATGGAGTCTGAACAATTTCCAACTAGATAATTAGAACAAGCAAGAAACAGAACATAAAAGAATCAAAACTTTCACATTCGGAGCCAAAAGTAATAAAAATTTACCAGCTTGTGACGATTTAACGCATCTGGATTCACAGATCGTTCTAACAGCATAGAAAGAATCTGCCAATCAAAGCAAAAAACGAGAAACAAAATCATTAATCAAACATTCAAACCCCGTAAAGATTTCCTAAAAAAAAAAAAAGTTATTTCCCACCAAGAATCAAAAACCCATTTGCCC